ACACTCAAACCTACATGTCCTACAACTGGACGGTACGGACTATAAGGGTTTTGATGGCTTTGCCAAACAAGTGGCCGATATTGTGGGCGACAGGGGTTTGGATACACTTATTAATAACGCCGGCATTGCGTTGACTGCAAAACTGGATGCCGTAACCGCCGATGATATGGTGACCAACTTTAACGTCAATTCCGTGGCACCACTAATGCTCACTAAAGCCTTACTGTCGGTGCTTAAGGTTAGTTTATTCTAATTATTTTTATTCAAATAATAATTTATTTATTTTATTCAAATCTAATTAAATTTTATAATTAAAATAAAATTATTATTTAATTAATTTATAACTTATTAACTAGAAAATTACAAACTAAAAATTAAAAATTTTAGCTTATTTTTTAATTAACAAATTTAAACTTTAAATAACTTGTTAATTTAAAATAGTAATATATTTTATATTAATTATAAATAGCAATCGGCAGCAACTAAGCGCAAAACCACAGTGGTCAATATTTCATCCTTGGCAGGCTGTATTACACTTATACACAAAGTCCCATTTGGTATGCTTTATCCATATTTTACGAGTAAAGCATCACTCAATATGATTACAAAGTGTCTGTCCGTTGATTTGGCTTCACATGGTATTAATGTTGTGGCCGTACACCCGGGCCACGTGCAGACCGATATGGGCGGTGAACGCGCGAAGATTACTGTGGAGACTAGTGTTAATGGTATACTGAACGTGATCGATAAGCTAACCGATGATGATGCTGGCAAGCTAATTGGCTATGATGGCACCGTGATGCCTTATTAAATTAGTTTATAATGTTATATTTGAGTATTTGCTGCAATAAATATTTTTAATATGTTTGAATGAATTATAATAAAATATTTTTGCAAATTAAATATAATATGCATTTGTTATTTAGTTGAGTGTTTATATCAAAACTAATTTATTTATAAACTAAATTAATTACATTAGAAGTAACATTATGTTAGTATTGACTATAAGAGTTTTGATGGTTTACCAATCAGGTGGCCGATATAATTTAACTTTATAAGGTTTTTAATTAATTATTATAATAAGTTTGACACGACATGTGTCCTAAACTTTCTATTTGATGTAATTCTGTAATTTTCCCTAAGTTTTTTGAATTGTATGTCTTATCCTAAACCAATCATAGCATTGGGTTTCCAACGGTTTCCCCAAACTTGA